CGTAGTGCGAGATACGTTGATCGAAAGCTCCGACATTGCGGTATTCGGTGGATATCTTTCTGGCTAACTACGGATTGTCTGTCGGGCTGCAATTGTCGATTCGTTCGTTTCGAGTGCTGGTCGACATTGTCTCCGCTACGTCTGCGCACTTCGTTGGATCGGCCCTATTCTTAATTCGTTCCCTAGCCGGGACTCTCTTTACCACCGTTCATCACAATATAAATCGTGTCAGACAGCCTGCTGGTGGTTACATCCGTAACACTTACTAATCTGTAATACTTACCATCTACCTGCATCTGCGGCGGTTCCCGTGGTTAGTTTTAAACCCTACTCTTAGTTTTCATTCACTGTCTCCATTTCTGATTTTCAGCCTTCTCTCATGAAATTTGAGCACTGGTATCAATTCGTTTACCGATTCGCGCATATGCACGTTTTATTAGTCATGCTCTACTCGTATCCGACCAGAGAAGGGGGGTTGAAAATGAGCGAATGATGGACAATGAGAAACGAGCAAAACAAGGACAAAGCTCCTACAGATCAGGCAACCGATCAAGCCTGTGCCTTTGAGAACTGAATTAGTGCGTCTCTCCTTGTCTGTGTATGTATGTGTGCGCAAGCACTTGTAAAATTCAGCAAGTGAACTGTCAGTGATATATATATATATATATCATTACTTTGAGCGTTCACGGCCATTGCAGATCATACTGCGGTTGGTGGAAGACGAACACTTAGTGGATTAAGAAATAGGACCGGATGCATTTCAGTGCGGAATGAAGTTCGATTTGGGGTGATCCGGATAGATTGGCCTACTATAGATACGACATCAAGAAAGAACCCAAGGTTAATTAATCTGCGATGGCACAGTTTTTGTCAATAGCCGAGCATCGAAACAGTCAATGTCAACTCGTCGTTAGTCCGTGAGTGATCAAAAATCAATTTGTCAACTAACAGATGATAAAGTTTCCCTGGTTAGTAAGTAGCAACTCACCACTAAGGAACACTAGAGATTCACAGGCTCACCCACCAATCGATACAACCATGCAATAACTCCAATCCAAATCTAATTGGGGTTTGTCTTAACGTCCGAGTTATTGCTAAGCCATAAGTGGTCGGGGCAAAGATACATTGTATTGTGCTTTTGTGCTAATTCCGTGAATGAATGCATACCAAAACTGTAAAGAAACATGAGAAAAGGTAAAAAACGGCCTACGAAGGTTGATCCATCAGGACTGAAGGCCAAATATCAATGGACGACATTGTAGTTTATTCACATTGTATATGTTTCTCTTGATCAGTAATTTAATTCCTTCCATAACTCCTTTCTCTATTGATCAACCAAATCGGTAGCCGGTGCGCAGGAACCAAATCAATGAACGGATGTTCACGGTTATGGGATGTATGAACGGAAATGGATACTACTTATGTTGATGTGACCTTGACAATCTCCAAGGGGTTATCGCTCACGTGCGCGCAAGCTTGAGACCGCGAAGCACTTCCAAGTATTACCCTTCTGACTCATCTGTGTCTCCCTTTCTATCTATCAGACAGTAAATATCGCAAAGTAGGTTCCTTTTCAGAATGTTAGATTTAGATGAGTCCATTTGTATTTATCCAGGCACCGGACACTGGGCATGACCAAAGAGTAGTCCCGGTCAGGGAACACACGTAGAGCACCGCTGACAGGTCTCACCAAGGACGATCAATGGTCAATGCTCTTTGGTAACACAGTAGATTCATCGCATTCAAATGAATTGAACTTCAATTGAAAACTCGTGTCCAAGGTCCGATATTACGGCCCGCATTCCTAACTCATTCCAGGTTGGTGGGTTACCGATACAGACGGATAGATAGATCCGCGTGTGCACACAAACACCCGCAAAAATTGTATGGAACGGCTACGGACAGCCATACAAACACAGACAGATAGACAGGCAGACAGACAGACAGATGGTTATAGACGAGCCGATTTTCATTCGGGTTAGACTGAACGAACGAGCGCGTGATGAGTGAGGGCCGTACTCGTTTGGTCTGCGAAAATGGATCCGGTGAGTCAGGAGAGCAGTTGTGTGTGTGTTATGTACGCACACATGATGAGTAGTATGCAGTACACCGACGTGAATTTCATACAACTCTAGAATGTCTAGTGATTTCAGTTATTCGGTCTGTGAAAACAAGACTTTAAAAGAACCCCTGGGGTGGTGAAAATGTCAGTCACGATGTAACTGTTGTGAGAAATGCCGTCGTATACAGGTCAAAGAAAATGGGAAATGAAATGCACGGAAGTAATGTGGGGTTGTTTCGATCTTGTTGAGTCTCATTATGTTCGGGGTGTAATTTGATGAAGTGGGCGTTTTTTGACTGCTTCTAAATTTCACTTCATTTTCAACGGGGATTTTAGGACTGTGGACAATTCATCCGGCGGTAGACTGAATCAAGATGGTTGGGAATGACAGCCGGTTTCATTTAGGCAAAAATATCAGTACTACTGTTAGTGGTATAACTACCGCATTGTATTTCACTATTGCCATTTATCTTTTGCTGCGGTTAAAATTATTACCATTGTTGTAATGTATTATCGCTCTTTGATATTATTGTTAGTCGGACTGTGGCTGTAACGTCCACAGCGGTGACCAAGTGGTTAGAGTCGTTACGTTGCAACATGATAGTCCTGAGCTCGAATCCCGTCCCAGTCTGCCGATCTTGCTCATTTACATACTTCCTCTGACAGCCTTTGTGTGGCCACAATCCCCTTCCTGAAACTGAACCGCAAATTTACCTACTCGATAAAATAAAAAAGGAGTTAAATTGTTTTTTATTTATTATTATGATATTACTGATGCTACTGATACTCTCATTGCTGCTACGATCATTGTTACTATCTTTAATAATATGATCGCCATATAGTCTTACGAGGTCACCTGAGTTCTCCAGATTAGATGTGGTTAAATATTCATGTCTGTGTGATAGGGTTCCCACAACAGAAAACAAATTCCATATCTATTGATTCGAAATGTTCGATAAGCATTGTTTGACCGTATCGACAGAAGCTCATAATTATATTAGCTAAAATGACACGATCAATACACTAAATGGATGAAATGGAAATGTCAACTATTGCTAACAGAGCTGAAACAGTTATACACGACTTCCGCAAATGGTCAGAGGAACCAGTGGCATTGAATGATCAAAACCTTTTCCAAACCGGGTAAATCTTCGATTACTCCAACCCTATTTATGTGAGTCTAATACCAGTTTCATAACATGTGCCCATAACAACACAAATGTGTTTGGATGGAGCGCACAGAACTTGTCAGGCCATGCACCGACCCGCGTTCGTGACGCCCAAAGCCGAATCGACGCCGGATTGGATGACTAAGGCGAATCAGACAACTGTCGTCCGATCGACCAATCGTAGTATTAAGGTCGCAACCTGATTGGTGCGTCATCACGTTGTTTCTCGTACGCCCAATTTACCACGTATTTACGTATTCAGTCATGGTCAATAAGATGCTTACCGTCATTTTCTGGTCCGTGTTTTCTCTCCATATCGTTCGTTGTTGGGACTTAGTCAAGGGGCGCTCGTTTCGATCCTGCGCCTTGGCAAGACACAACAAAATGAAATTATATTCACAGGAGGAAATCATACTTTCTCAATAGGTGAAAACGTGTTCAAATTTTTATTGGGAAAGTTTTGATTGAGATAAAATTATCTGCCCTCACAGCTGGCGGTTATTGGGAAAGCAATGAGTTTGGAACAGCATATGTTCATTTAAAATAAATCGGAAATAATAAAAAAATGCAACCGAACCTCGCCAACAACCCCCTGTGGCAATTAGCACACATACTAATGAAATATTCTTGTATTATAGTTATCGTTTTATATGTGCAACTCATTTTATCGATTGACTTTTGGGTCCTATCATGATAAAAATAAGCTGTTTGTTTTTTAAATTGTAATCGATAGTTCAAATTTCCTTTTGGAATTTTCTTACAATAAATACTGGGGCTCAAAACGGTTTTCACGGTCTGTTTTGATTAGGGGTTTGATTCACACCTAGGAAAAATTCAGCTATGGTTTATCCCTGTTCGGATCTAATTTGCCTACTGTATTTGTTAACCAATTGGTACCAATTGGTCACTGAAAAAGCCACATCCTTTGACGGTCTATTTTCCGGGGATAAATGGTTTACCGGAATTGGTCTTCGTATCACTTGTCCGTACACAGTTGTTTTGAGTCATTCAGAGCACTCTATTGTGCTCCAGTGCATATATAGAAAATGACTGTCGTCGCTTGAGTCCCAGTTCACTCTCGTTACTCTCGCTTCGTTGACCGCCCCTCCCCCCTGCCGGCGCACTCTTCAACTTCGACCTCCTCACACACATAAACACACACACACATCCGATCAAAACAGCAACGGGACAGAATGTGATTTCCACTTGATCAGTGGGGATACACAACGACCGATTCATCGGTGTCTGATTCGGGCTTTGTCACCGGTGATTGATCAAGCGATTACCGTGTCGGACAATTCACATTCGTCTACCTCGTACGATTTATCCGCCCTGTCCGTGGACACATTGGATCAATTGATCCGCTACGTGTACACATCGGGTGAGTGCCATATATTTTATTTGCCTTGCAAATGTGTAGATTGAAGCGAAATGAAAATAAAAGAAGCCATGTGGTACCATGTGGAACAACCCGTCCCCTGAGTGGAATAGTCAAATGAGTGAAAAAGTATTTGTATTGAAATAATCCAACATTTATCACGAAACTGATAGTCTAAGTTGTAATAAATAGGAAACCTGATCAGGTAAGTGTATCATTAGCTCTGGTTGTTTTTACGAATACCAGAATATCCGTCCATTGTTTGTGGTGCATAATCACCTGCTACCTACTCGAAACCAAGTGAGGTGTTTCGTGAAATTCGATCGAAAATTTATTCACATCGAGCATGCTAAATTCTCCACTCCTCAAATTATACACTTCACTTAGTACTCTCCTTTACTTAATGGAGAATGCAACTGAAAGCTAGCTCTTTATCGCACACAGAGTAAACGAAATGTGTTCTGAGAATTGATCTCAATTTAAGGTGACCGGGTATCAGTTTATGATGTCCTGTTACTGTGTAGCAGCATCTTCCACTGTACAAACCTCATACACTGGAACTTCGAGTAGGCGCCACAATCGGACTTCTGGTGCCATTCCCTCGTATTTTTATGGTACAGGTAGCCCCGTTTGACTTTCATCAGTCTCCGTGTGTCATCTCAGCAGCTGTCTGGCAGAGATTACCTCAGTTCTGAGTGGAGTGATTTGATTTCTTTGTATGTATCATCTCAATGTGCTTGGCAACCAAAATACGAATCTGGTCCTATCACTTCTGTGCCCACAATCAATGTGAAAATATACTCATACAAGTCTATGGATTCTGAAGTTCTTCGCTGTAAACCAACACATGGGAATTTCCGGAATTGAAAACGATATAAAAAACGATCAATGAATGGCCGTGCAGGGGAGTGTCGTTCAGTGATATACTGACCGGCAGCTACCAAACCACGAATCCTAAGCAGGCGAATGCAAGTGTACTGGAATAACAAATCAATTATACAACCTACCTCAAATCAGGGCACTCCGGTCGGGGAACACAGTCAGTCCGGCAAAACAAACGCAAAGTTGCGAGTAAGTTCCTCTGGCATTAGTGGGAAGGGGAAACACAATGATTACCTAACTGAAGAGCAATACACGGGGCAAAAACAACCAATCAGGAATATGCGGCAGCGGGCGATGCAATCTGCTTACGCAGAGTTAGACAGATTCTCTCATCCGTTAATCACACGGGAGCACGACTGGGGCGACAAGCACGGGATGCGCGCTACAAGATTTAATCCTTATCAATATTCACGCGGTGAAGGATAGGTGTTCAGAGCCAAAAGAGTCATTGCATGAGGTGATTGATTTGGGTCAGGGGTGAGCCGGGCGGTGTAATCGATCGGGATCAACATGCATGAGATAGGCGGGATGCTTAGCAAGAAAGCGTGGTGTCGCGACTGGGGTAGGTGGAATGGGTTGTGTGCGTGACCAAGTCAACCAGAGAGAGGGGGGGGGCATGAAGCAATTAGCGAATGAGTGGATTTTTGGGCTAGGAATATGTTAAGCTAGTGTGCTGAATCTCCACAGATTCGAATGAAGAACACAACACTCAAAAATGAGCGCGATTTATTTCCGGAATACTTTTAACAGAGTAAACGTTTAAAATGTTTTCATGTTAGTACAAATTTGAAAATCTGCAAATTTACGAACGGGATCCGATTTCCGAGGAGGTTGCTCGTAATAGTATTTCATGAATAAGGAATTAGCTATTCATGAGTAGTGTAAATAAGTTCAGGACAACATATTGAGGTGATTTCTCTGAGGCATTTCGTCCCCAGCTAACCCGAGCGAGAACCTACATAGCCGAGAGTCTTTTGTATCACACCCAGTGAAATTCGATCTTACAATGCAATAGCGCCATCATCACACGGCTCAAAAACAAGTGACAACAAGAGCGTCACAAACATTACTTTCCGGTAGTCAGGCGGTCTCGTGCCGGGTTGAGGATTCCACGT